CAATCACCTCACATATGCATGTGTGTTTGTGTTTATCATTTCCTTTTCAATTTACGTTTCGCAATTTTCCCTAAACGTTTTTCTTTTTTCGGTCAGCTCCTTCTGTTTCTTGAAATAATTTCTCTTCTTTCCAAAACTGGGTCTTTTCTGGTCCATGGGAAAGTGATTCTTCGAACCTATGCACCATTAAATGGCACGTGGCACAAGGCCAAAACACACCACCGACAACTATATCCGCTGGACAAGAAGGAAATTCCTTTACGTTACAGATAAAAGCGGAATACTATGTATGAAAAGATAAAGTAATCGTTTGTGAACACAATAGGCTTTTCTACGGAGTTTATAAAGTAAATCACTTAGTAATTAATACCATTTTCATTTAGTGCCTGGGGCCGGCAAATAAAAGGAAATATGACTTAACACACACACACATATATATGTAAATTATTGAAATTAATCTGTAACCGGCCTTATGTGCAATTCGAAGAGACTCTAAAGAGGCCTTCAGAACTTTTGTTTATGTTGCTAAAACTGAACTTGTACTGATAATGATATAATCAAACATATAAAAGTATATATTCATAACCTAACACTAGGAGGCGATTCGCGAATAAATGTTCTTTTTATTTATTGGATAGTGCTTTATTTTGTTTGCTGGAATGATATTAGGATGTTAAACTGATCAGAAGAATGGGCCCCAGATGGAACAGCGCTAAGCTTAAGGACTTACAACGCTAAAATTCGGGGTTCGATTTCCCACGGTGGACACAGCAGATAGCCAAACGTGACTTTTGTCTAAAAACGAAGAACGAATTTAGTGTTTTCAGTGAAAATCATTACTTTTCTACTAACTTAAAATTTATTCATAGATGTGTTTATTTGCTTGTTACTTCGTAGAACTAAATTAATATCGTATGAAAGTCCTTTTATGCGCGACATATGTCTTCAAACATTTTATTGTAGTAACAGATTAAAAACTCTGAATTTTACTCATACCTATATAAGCGCTGTCTTAATTTTAAACCGATATATTAGAAGGAAGGCAGGTAGTCAATAGCAAGTTTCGCCAACTCTTGTTTTACCAAAGAGTGAGATTTGAACCGTCATTCTTATAGCGCACCCACAACCCAAAACTGCGAAGCGCGTTTCTTGCGGCAGTGGGTCGCGAGCCATGTATCCTTGAATTCAAAGTCCCGCCGCGCTAACCAACAGGCCACGCCTTGCCCAAACTCCTTAGAAACTGTATAAAAAACGATGTATGAAATCTTAGATTTTTTTTTTCAACTTGCAGTCTGTTTTTCATTTTCTTGTACGAATTCTCTATTTCGTTTCAATTAATCTTCATAAGAATAAAGATGCAGATATCTGTGGATTACAAAATTCGCAATGTAACGCAATTTCAAGAAACACGCTTCATATAATTGCTATATATATGTTGTTGCATCACGAAATACGTGATTTTGAAAATGTAAATGCCAGGAAAAGATAAAAGCTTGGAATGAGCTATGTGATATCCCCCGTCCCCCGTACACTACACGGAACCTGCTCCTAAACTATTATTTATAAGTGTTTTGATAAAATATTAGCATCTCAAACTTTTTAAATTGTACTTTTCTGTTTGGTTTTGAGCGCTTAGAATTGCTTATGTACATTACATGTAATATAAAATTTTAGAACATGTCATTGTCGTCATCGTCACACAATTTTCCTGTTTGTTTATTTACCCAAAGTAGAAAATTTCAGCTTGAAAATTAACATGCATACGTTGTTTCTAGCGTTTTTATTGTTGGTTGCGGGAGTATCACAGAATATTGTAAAATGTATTAGGTCAAAAGGTGGCGCTTTTGAGTCTCACCTATCATTACGTTTCTCAACCAGCCTTATGGATACTATATGTTGAATACAGGGTTCCAGTATTCGAAAAAAAAAAGAGAAATAAAAAGATAATGGTTTATGATTTAGCTGAAACACTAAATATCAACTTTGTGGTTGAAACTCTTTGAACCCTAAAAAGAAGAAAAAGTGGGGCATGTCGAAGGATGGAATATCAGGACGGACGATGATAATAATGGTGGTAAAGTTAAATTTGCTTGTGGAATAACGAAAAAAGCTAGAAGGTTTATGATAAACAGGATCGTGACTGTACAGCACTTAGGCAATTTAGTTAAAACCAGATTCTATGCCACTCCATCAAAACCTCCCAAAGGGCAGCCTTTTCCTGCTGTAGTATTTAAAGGAAACAAGTAGTTCTCGTTAGAAACATCGAAAAATGTGGAAAACCAGAGCCAATACGGACATCATATTCATCTGCTTTTCTTACTTTAAATTCAATAACCAAGCTTCAGATAATGTTACCTTACTCTCCTATTTCGGAAACAAGTTAACATGACATTCTCTTCTTTTAACTTTCTTATTCTAGCAGACAACCTAGGTATTTCTTCCCCTTTTATCCAGATCTTTTATCTTCAGATAATGTTACTTTACTCTCCTATTTCGGAAACAAGTTAACATGACATTCTCTTCTTTTAACTTTCTTATTCTAGCAGACAACCTAGGTATTTCTTCCCCTTTTATCCAGAACCCTAGATTCATCTGATACTTACGTTATTCATATTCTCTCTACTTTTTATCCATAAACCCAGCCTGACGAGATCTCCTTACTTCCAATCCAGGAACCAAACTTGACATGATATTTTCTGATCCCAAAATTTCTCATCCAGGAGCTTATTGTCCCAATTTCCTCTCCATGAACGAAGCTTGGCGAGTTCTTATTTACTTCCTATGTAGTAATCAATTTTGATTATACTCATTTTTTCCTTATTCCTCTCCACGAGTCCAACTCATAGAAACATTTTCTGTTAAACTATAAGTTATTCATATCGAATTAAGATTACTGGCAAGGTGTTACCTTAGATGTTTCTGAACTCCATATATGTAACATGTTTCAAGTGAGTTTGAAAGCAATGTGTTTGTTTGTAGTTAAGCACAAAGCTGTACAATGGGCTATCTGTGCTCTGAACACCACGAGAATCAAAACCCGCAGACATACCGCTTTACCACTGTGCTATCAGAAATTATTTCTTTGAAACTGGGTAAGCCTGTGATACCTGGCTGGTACGGAGAAAGTAAACATAATATTTAATTATGTATATAGATAGTTGTTTTTTGTCAAAGGGTTTTGTTTGGACTATCTGTGCTCTGACTGCCGCATATATTGGAATCCGATTTTAAGCATTAGAAGCCCTCAGATTTTTCGCTGAGGGGTAAGAGTGGGGAGCCTGTCAAAGAGACCTTCAAATCAGTCTTGCTTTTTCTCTACATGAATTTGCTAAATGTAAGGATTTATAGACTTTGAAGGTTTAGCAAGGAAATTTAAAAACATAAAATTAAAGTAATAAGGACATTTAAAAAAATATCTAATCCAAAGTAACATGATTATACATATTTTGTGTGTCTTCCCTGTTTCCCAAACTTTCGACAATTCTTGGATCGCAGAAAAAGAGAAACAAGAGTAAAAACAAGAGTTAGGAAATTAGCGATCAAATGATCATTATTCATTAATTTCCTCTGATTAACTTTTCCAGCAAGGCTAAGGATTGTGTTTCGAAGTTGTTGTACACGTAGTTTTATGAAGTAGTATCTACTTTTGAGTAGAATTATATGCTATTGCTGCTTTTTATTTGAGGATCTTATTTTATTTTTAAGAAATCTATTCGCGTGTATCTTAAACGTAGTAAATTTAAAAAAATATTTTGATTAAAAAAATTTTTATTTCAATATTTTTTAACTTTCTTTTGTTTTCAGGTATTTTGATGTCATTAGCAGTATTAATATAAGCTGAAGGAGCTTTAGCTTAAAACAGAGATTTGTTTGAAGAAAGCAATGGCAAAAGTCCAAGTAACTGCAGGTTACCACTACCAACAACAAAACACAAAAAATACTGTAAACGCATACACAAAAGCAATAAAGAACGAGAGGTGGACCGTTTTACTTGATGCACATTTTTTTTATATATATAAATTTTCTTGTCCTTGATGTTTAAGTCTGAATCTGTAAGTGTTTGGGCTTCTTCCAGTCACATTATATTCTAGCGTTTCTGTTTCTGTAAAAAACGTGTCAAAGTGAAAGAAACAAATGTAATGCACGTGCGACATAAAAAATGTTTTTGGCCACAACATTTATTTCTCTTAAGTTTAGACTATCCAAAAATGATTAAATAGTATCTTGCTAGATGAGACATATTAAATATATGAGACATTTGTCGTGTGTGCACTTTTTCAACAACTTAGTAAAACTATTTGTATATACACTTTCACTCTATGTCAGTTTGTTCTTATGTGTTACGTGGTAACGGATAACTTTAGACATTCTGTAACTACTGGAAATATTTTTGTTTTGTTTATAACTCGTAACCTACTATGAACGCAACATTTTTGTGCAGTTAAATATTTTTCTAATAAGTACAAGCAACCTTGTGAAAAAATTGAACATGTTTAGCTGGCTACATTGGATTTGCTTGACCATGTCAAAGTTAGTTTTAACATTGTGGTTTCAAGTATTCGCTTAAGGCTCATTACAAAATAATGGTTATGTAAATAAATGTAAAGAAAGAACATGTTGATGACAACGAATTTTTAAGTGCAACACAAAAATTATATATTGTAAAAAAATATCCTCTTTTTGTATTAGGGCTTGTAACGCTAAGATGCAAGGCTCGATCCCAACGAAAAAAGTAAAACAGATACCTCATTGTTTGGGTTTGCAAAATAAAACTTATTAATCTTTGTCTTTTTTATTCGTAAAAATCAATCTCAGTATATTTCAGTACAATCAGGTAAACATTCTCAATTGACTGTAAACCGACATAAATCATGTTAAACAGTTCTGTGAGCGACTTAAACTTCTAGTTATTTTTCTGTTCATATGTTTTTAAAATATTTTTATATCGACTTCTAAGTAGCTTCATAATAAAATACAGCGTCTTATATATTTTATTACAGTCTTTCTTCGGGCGAACCTACAACAATCTTTCGACCCTAGGAGAGTGTAAAAACAATGGTCAGTGCGTCATCAACAAGAAAAATCGGACTTCTTGCAAGAGTTGCCGTCTGAAGAAGTGCATATTGGTTGGCATGTCAAAAAGCGGTACGTTTTCTCACGATTTTCAGTCATCATCTTAATCGAATAGAATAAGAAAACAGAGAGACAATATAAGCGCCTCCACATGATGTAGTATAGTCACGTTATTGTTTAGAGGTCAGTAGAAAGGTTAATTAAGTTAAAAATGTTGGAAGGGAGATTGTAATCACTAGAATATGGTATATATCTGCATAAAGCTCCAACAATGTGACCCACTTTCAACTACGGTTTCCGAGTATGAGAATTGTACTAAATGCCAAACATCTCAAAGTTTACCCCGTTAGTAATAACGTTTATGATTCAGAAAATGTGACATGACATCACATGGTTTTAATGAATATAAAAAGGTCAAGTACTACAATTAAACTCTCTCGACTGGGTATATTAGATCGAAACTATATCTTTATGTTATCTGTTAGGATCAGTATTGGAGTAGTTTAGATGCCACATGACGTTTAAACTAGAATAAAGATATGCATAATGTTTATTGTGGAGTTTAAACTTATGGCTTTCAGAATATATAAGCCAAATAATCGATATTGGGTTAAGCTTTTAAAGGTTGACCATTGATATGAATAAGGACAACTAAAGCAATGTACTTGTTCCATATACTTCTTGAGCAAGCTTACAGTGATCGTACATTATAAACATTGGGAATTATTTTATAAAGTCTTATCCTACCTTATGTTTCAATAAGAGTAAATTTTAAACCTCTCACCAAGCCATTATCTCATACAAATTAATGACAATAGATAAAGCCTAATGCAAGTGCTAAAAACGAAAGAACAGAGCGAAAACGTTGAAAAACTTTTGAAATTGTTTTCCTCGCCTTACATTATGGTTTTGTTTTAAGGTTTAATAAACCGTAAATTCCCAAAATCAACCTTTATACAATTACATAATCCGGTAATCCGTTCTCCAAGGACTCCATTGTCTTTAAAATAAGGATATAATGCAACAAAATTTCGTTTAAAACTAAACATTTATTTAGCAAATAAGGCCACATTACCATAACGAATTTTACCTTTTTTGCAAAGTACAACCACCGAGTTCTTTTAACATAGTACGATAGTGAGACAGTGGAGGTATTATATATGAATTTCAATCCCACTGTTCGTTAGTAAAAGAGTAGCCCAAGATTAGCTGCTTTCCCTCTAGTCTTTCATTGCTAAATTAGGGACGGCTAGCGAGGATAGCCCTCCTGTAACAAACCGAATCAAACTAAAACTAGGTTCCAATAATACTGCGATACTGATTTAGTAATTGAAACTTGTGTTATGTGCACTCTTCATATTTGTATTGATTATGATCGTTGTCAAATTAATAGCAAAACATGAAACTTTTATGTTGGTGTTTTTAAAAAAACTTTTCACGGCATTGTTTTAAAATCATACTTACACAATCCTTGCTGCACAGGAAAAGCCGAAAACACTGTTTCCCAATAGGAATTTGATGTAGTGGGTGAAATTCTGCAAAAATACTTATATATATACGTGAACCGTATTTCCAAACGTATTAGGATAACACTTAGCCATCTAGTAATAGGCTTGTCTCTACTAAATATACATGCGACTCACATAGTGCACTGCTGTCTATAATTTCTGAAGGTCAGTAACTGCTATAGATAGCTGGTTGGAGCTCACAGATCTACGAAAAAAGGAAAGGTTTTGGATGCAGCATCACTGATATATGTGTCCATGATATTTTAGTCTACTCATATCCAATTTAGTTATGGTTATTGCTGTACTGAAGAAACGGAAGATCTATGGAAGTGTTAATATGGAAATATCGACCTGGCCGTCACTTTCAAACGCAACTGTACATCGGACATTAAATAAATTAGCCAGGACGTTAATAATACTGCTGTATATGAATTGTGTGTAGGTAACTCCATGCTGCTAAATTTCACAGACAGGCTTCATTCCATCACAACCAGTGTAAGAAATTGGATCTTATAGTGCCTTGAGCATCGAAACTGGAGTGAAAAGCCAAGTAAGACTATCAAGTGGGATGACTAATACAGCTACTCACTATTTACTTCAGATCTGTATTTGATTAAGCCTTCGACAAAACTCTGAATATTTTGTTCACTGATAATAATAACAAAAAAGAGCCATAAGTTATTTGCACATTGTGACATACTTGATATTGCTTTACTGTTTGCATTCGCGAAATTCGATGTATAAGGATTATATCTTTTTCAACATGAAAATACACCATTCCACATGAGATGCAGTATTCAACACTTGAAGCTGTTTTATGAAAGGTTTAAATTCGTCAGATTTCTGCTAGTGTTGGTCTCACTATAGAGTCCATTCTTTTTACAGTTAATGTCATAAATGGTTCTGCTCCTTATTATGGATTCCACCAGCGAAACACAATACCGAGGAACCTTAAGGTGTGTTGTCCCATTACCTTTGGCAGTGCACTCTATGCAAACGATTTAGTTTAAACAGACAAGTAAGCTAAAGTTGCCAGAATAAAAACGTCGAATTATATTTGTAAAGTTTTCAATTCTGAGGATTTTCAAGTAAAAAAGTTAATCCCGATCAAAAGAAAAAAACTCTATCTGAGTCAGATCTTGGACACTTGCTGAGGTGAGTTGAATTGAGGGGGTCCATGATTTGAAATAGACATATATGTATGAGTCAGATCTTTGACACTTGCTGAGGTGAGTTGAATTGAGGGGGTCCATGATTTGAAATAGACATATATGTATAAGTCTTTAAAGTATTAACAACACTAAAAGAAATACTACAAGGAAATTGGATAAATTTTCAATTTAATTTCGTTTATATATAAGTCAGCAATTTACTATCGCAACAGATTTATTACATGTTCTCTGAGTTCTCACTTTTTGTTATTTCTGGTTGATCAATTGGATTATATTTTTCTGCTGAGTTTATTTTTTTAATTAACATATAATTACCTTAAATGTACGAGAGTGTACATTTTGTATGTGTCTGTGTTATAATTTTATAACAACACCTGGCCTGTTCCAATTGCCTTAAACATTTGTAAAATTGTTTAGAAGTGTAATTAATAAGGTAGATTCTATATATTTACAGGATCCCGATATGGACGTCGCTCTAATTGGTTTAAAATTCACTGTTTGATCCAAGATCAAGCTGAAATGAACGGAAGGACTGTCGAACAAGTTGCCTTGACAAACGGACAATTCCATTATGAGAGCAAAAACTTAGTTTCAGCCATCAAATCACAGTACGGAGAAGACACTACATCACCCAACAGAATAGCACAATCTAGTGACATAACACGTGTACTAAAATCTCCAGTGCCTACCAACGTATACGATACCAAATTGTTACCCACCAACTTTACACATCTCGAAACATCAAACATTTCTCATGAACGCAAGGAAAACATTGGATACAATCGCCTTCCATTGTCCCCTGTTTCTCCCATGTTACCTCTTAATTCAAGCAAATTTTTATTTCAGCATGGCAACGAAGCTTTTATCCCCAAAGGTTACAGCAGAGCAACAAAACTTTATAAAATGGATGTCAATCATAACTACTCTTACCAGTTTCTTGCTATTAATAAGTATGATTCGTCACAAGAAGACACGCCAGTTGTCATGGACTACTTGGCAGACACACAAGAAACTCCCATCGATTTGTCTGTGAAGAAACCTCCACAACTACCGATGACAAATTACAATCTTTGTCTGATCAACAAACAAAGCAGTCGGCACCCAACAGAAACGTCATCAATTGCGAATATTTTAGAATCTCCTTTAGATCTTACGAGGAAAATGTGTTGATATCCATTCTTTGGTGACATATAATTGTACCTTCAATGTTGAAATCACTACCACCACGTGACGAATCCACATATTATTGGTTGTATAGTGCCCTCAATAACACTGAGACTTTGCAAAATCTATTGAACATGGGAATCATATATTAAACTGTTTTTGGATATATAGTACTACTTTATATGACATAAGTATTACCCATTATGGTATTTCGAGATCTACTTAATATTTTATGAGTTCTTAATGAATGTGACAGTCCATCATTACGGGTTAGACTGGAATTTGATAAAAAATGGCAATTATATTATTATAAATATACTTAATTTTTATTTTCATTGATTTCACGTGATAAGTCTGATGACTTAAAGGCCAGTGTTCATTTCATCAGTTATCAATCATTCATGACATGTTACGTTGTTACTAAATGTTTAGATAGACAATATCTTAGAAAAGAATAAACACCGAACAAGAAGTGTTGACATTTAATGTACAGCTTTACTTCCGAGTGCAAGAATGAAAAACATTATGAAATACTGATATCTCTAATGTTATTGGTCATTGTACTCCATAAATACTGATATCTCTAATGTTATTGGTCATTGTACTCCATAAATACTGATATCTCTAATGTTATTGGTCATTGTACTCCATGAATACTGATATCTCTAATGTTATTGGTCATTGTACTCCATGTTTTATAAGCGGCCAATACTATTATAATATTACACTTTCTTCTTTGTTTTTTTTTATATAGTTTCAAATCTTTCAGATCTTGTACTTCTTGTATTAATTAACATAATGATATCACCCGGTACTAAGGTCACCGTAAGAGGGGTGCCAGTTGTCATAAAGTAGTTGGTGGTACGCCCCAGCGACAAAAACACTCGTCGACGTATCTGTGACGAAATTACCATTTTCAGCAAACACTTTCTTGATACAAAGCCATGTAAAGAAACAGAAACAAGTTGGACCAAATTTAAATATAATTTATTCTGTTTGAAATGGTAGGCACTAAATCAGAATAATTCTTGGCATTGTGAGAGTATGGAATGTAATACATGTTTTTTTAATTAATGGTGAATACATCCGGTAAATATGTACTTTGGTGTAATCCGATTAGTGTTTCGCAAGTTGCGTACGTGCTATTATTAACTATACAGTTAGGATGACAAGTTGTAATATTCTAATATTTCACTATATATCTATATAGTATGATTGATTTTTAGCATGTAGGTCATGCACCACTCTTCCCATAATATGAAAATGTCGGATATTCTAGTTTTTTAAAAATGGATATGTTATTTTTGGGCTTATTACGTCATATCGTTTAATTTAATATTGCCAAGTTCTGTGGCTTTTTCTGATATCTTGTCTCTCCTTCAGTGCAGCTTGTGACAGCTAAATTTTGCATTTTATCAAGTTTCGGATTATTTGCTTTAACTGCTGTTAGCAGAGAGCTGATTGTTTCATCTATCAATATTTATTGTATAAAATATATTACCTTCTCCACTATATCATAAGTTAATTCGCGTCTTTCCTGAGGCGCGAAATTCTACTTAAAAAATCTAGAGGAGTTTAAAATGCGTTGGTTTTTATGTAATGTATTTATTACTGGAGTAAAACACTCCTTTTAGAAGTAAAAACGACTTAGACCCAAGGTATAAAAAAGACTTTTTTTAAAACCAAAGTTTCGATTTGCGCCTTCTTCAAAGCAAAGCGTTGAACGGATACTAAGACAATAAATTGTTCACTAGTATAGTTACTGGTACACTAAAATTATTGACTAGTCTTAGTTACTAACACATTAAAGTCACTGATTACTTCTAGGTACTAGCATATATATATTAAAGTAACTGACTAGTTCTAGTTATTAGCACGCTAAAGTCATTGATAAGTTCCAAGTTACTATCACACTAAAGTCACTGATTACTTCTAGATACTGGCATATATATTAAAGTAACTGACTAGTTCTAGTTACTAGCACGCTAAAGTCATTGACTAGTCCTAATTACTAACACACTAAAGTCACTGATCACATCTAGATGCTGGCATATATATTAGAATAACTGACTAGTTCTAGTTATTAGCACGCTAAAGTCAATGACTACTTCTAGGTACTAGCATGTATATTAAAGTTACTCACTAGTCCTAGTTAATTGTCAATAACTGCAGTATACTTGTTTCCGCAAAACATTTACTCTGAAGAAGATGTAAGTCAAAGCTTTGGTTGAATAAATATTTTAAAATTCTTAGAGCTTAAACGTTGTAATATTAATTGTACAGTTCTTTGGCGAATTTAAACTTTAAAATATTTCATGTAAACTATAAGAAATGTACACAATGGTTCTCAAAGGTGCTCGTTTTATTTTTTGTTTATTTGTAAATGCATTATGATAACGTTTATTGTTGAAAATTATACGATTGAAAGTGAGATAATTTGTCTTTAAAATCACTGTTTTATGTTTATTGCTGTTTGTTTTATCAGCCAACCGGAAACATTTTATTTATATTTTTTTATCAAATAATAAGCATCTTCCATTCTTGTTTGTTGTTTTATGTGCGTTCTTAATTAATGTTTTTGGTCGATTGTTTAGTTGGAACTCTATTACCTGTCCATTCTTGGAAACAAAATAAAAAACAATAGGTCTGTTTTTCTTTAATACCTAGAACATTTTAACTTTTCTATAATCTTATAGCTAGTATTCGTAGTAAAACACCTCTTTGTACATGAAAAATATTGTCTTCGAATTTCAATATTATCCATACATATATATATATGTGTAACTATCAAATATCAACAAACTTTCTTCTGAATGCTCTTGAGAAATTAATTGTTAAATTGTGTAAATTTGGAAGCCTGCGCAGTGGTTACGATTTGGATTAGTTTATTGTGTTTTTCTCGGTGATTTGTAAATCAAAATGTTTTTGCTACTTCTAAATATTGGCATTTCTGAATTTTTTCAAAGACTCTGTGTCAATGCAATTGTATATTATTAGACAACAATCACCTTTGTGTTGAGAAACAGTACTCTTTAATTTGGCAAGCTTTTCATTTTCGAACAAATACTTTGTTTCCAACTTCAATATAACTTACTGTTAAAAAACCGATAAGATTATAAAAACATTTTAACCAAGTTAATTATATTAAATGTTTACTGGATGTGAAAATAGAATGTTATGAGAAGTATTATTTCTATTTAATAAGACATGTCTTTCAAACTTTAAGAAATCATGAACTTTTTATAAAGTTTATAAATAGACTTTCAACAATTCATTGTCTTCGATGTCGAACAACCATGAAGAAGTTTGGTATTATGTGTTACATGTTAAATTAGGACATTTTACGATATTTTTCGAAACCTATATATATATATATTGTCTTTGATCATTCTCAAGGTTAATATTAATTATTTTTGTATGAAAGACGTCTAAGAATGTAAAACAATTTTTAAATAGCCTCAGGGACAAACGTATGGTTTCATTAGTGGGGTACTGGAGATATCTTCTTTGCATATGTGTAAATGTTAGTGTAAGGTATGTTTCTCAATGTGTCAGTGGTAACCTACTTCAATAGAAAACCATGCCACAATAATGTTCCTCTTAACATTCCCCTAGGAGAATCAGTGACTTAAAATGATTATATTAATATTATTGAATAGAACAGGTGTATATATATATATATATATATGAGTGTGTGTGTATTGAATTAATATTCGGTGTAAATTTCAAAAGGTAATTTCTAATGTAAAAGTCAATTTGAAAGATTTTCTGTTTAACCGTAGTGTATACTCTTGAAATAACTAGTTTTCACCAAATGTGTAAAGTTTGAAATAGAAAACATATACAGAATGAAATACACCAAAATTGACTATGAATATTTTACCACAATTGTCAAAGTGATATCAAATGTTAAAGGTTATATGTATGATCAAAACCTTCATTCAAATGTTTTCAATTTCCTTCCGTCCTTATACAGATCAAAATATGTTGTCATACAAGTGTGTAAAACGTGTTTTTAAAATGTGCGATAACTAACTAGATAGTGCTAAAAAATCGAGTGTGATCTCCTCATTTAACTTTTTAAGACTGAAGATAGATAATAGAAATGTATTTAAAATTGAGTGAATACAAAAAGTCATCCAGGAATAAATATAGTTGGTCTGACACAACAATAAAAAAGTTTGTGTTATGTGAGTTCGCACACCGGAGAAATCTAAACAAAGGGTTCTCCTTCGTTATAAAATAACTGTTTTACAGAAAGGGTTTAGTTTGCTGAGTAGAGCAGGTTATTACCTTTATATGTGGCATATCACATTTTCAGTAAGCCAAGATAATTACTTTAGGGGTGGAAGTTTCCCGATGTGTGTTTTTTCTTCTGTAATTTGTAAGAATAAAATAATGTATTTTTATAATTATTAAAGCATAAGCATTATTTTTTTGCTGAATTTGGAATTGTGATTTTTTCGGATTGTTGTTAAATATTTAGGCTTTATTAGAAACAATACAGATATGTACTTCTTAGCGATGGGAATAATGACAAATGTTATACCTTCATTATAAACTATTAGATGCTTATTGAACAATAATAAATTTTGTAAAAACGACACAATTTTCGCATTTTCACAATAAAGCATATTATATCTTACAAGTTCATGGTGTAATACACGAATCAAAAATAAAATCTCCCCTTTTGTTATTTGTACAGCTTTTATGTCTTCAAATCTGATGTATAGTGTTGGCGTAAAATATTTTAGGTATTGATGTGTAGGGGATGAGTGAATCATACGATTTATAACTTCCTTGTTTGGAAGAACCACACAACCTATAGCTTTACCAGTTGGTATAAAGGTGTATAAAAACATACGCGAAACTCGTTTGTGAAAAACACGAATATAGGTGGCGCTGCAAGATGATCTTGAAACCGGATGGTGTTAATCCCATGATGTCATTAAGAATTGTATTAATTACTAGAATTGTCAAACTTCCTATTGTTAACACTTGAGCAATAAATCACATTTAACATTATGTTACGCACATCACCGAATATATGCTTCTTGCTGCTATCTGTCATGTCCTACTTCTTACTGAAACGGAAAGATATGATGTGACTTGCTAATTTCATGTGAACCAAAGGCCCATCAGTAGCTCAGTGGTAAGTGTGAGGATTTATAACGCTAAAAATCTGGTTTAGATACCTGTGGTGAGCACAGCACAGGTAGCCCTTTGAGTAGTTTTGCGCTTAACAACAAAACCATGTAGCAAAAGAATTTTGCAGCGCCACCTGTGGTATATTTTTTCATAAATGTGTTCCGCATATTATTTTGTACAGATACACCAACTGGCAAAGATTTAAGTTGTATGGTTTTTCCACTCCTATACGTCTGTAACTAAATGTATTTTATACCAGTCCTGTATATGTCATGTAAGACGATTCTTTCAGCAATTTTAACTTAAATTTCTTATACAGGATACACCATTTATCTCTAATTGGCGAATGCCCGTGCGTACAAAGAAGCAAATAATGAAGAAAACAAATACTTCATCATTCAAAACTAACTAGCAATACAACATATG